CGGGGCTCCCTTACGGAGAGCCCCAGCTGGCCTGTGCATGATTCCGTCACTGGACGGCGGTGGTGACGGGTCCGTGGCTTGGATGCGCGAGCGCGACACCCGCATCGTCGTCGTACCGCAAGTGAAGCTCCCGGCGGAGGCGGAGGCGGCAGTAGCAGCGGCCGATGACGGTGATGGTCAGCCGCGAAACAGTGACTGCTGACTTGTGCACGATTAAACGCAATCTCGGTGTCGCGTACGGTGCCGTGCCGGTCGGTCGGTCGGTCTTGGGGGCGCAGCTTCGGGAATAATGCGTGTTAGGCACGTTACGCGACGACGAGGACGAAGGTACGACGCGAGGGACCCGAGCAGCCAGCCGCGGGTGCAGCTGCAGCAACGCAATTATGTACGCGTACGGTTTCGAGATCACGTAGTGGCTGCCGTGTAATTATGTTGTCATCGACGCGCGGCGCACCCTGTGTAGCTTCACGGTGAAAATCTGGCGTGAGCGGTGCCGCGGTGGAACGGGGAACATGGCGTCGGTCTCGGCTGAGACTCCAGCCAGCCATGGGCACAGCTTTAGCAAGAAAACGTTTCACAAGCCGACGTACTGCCATAGCTGCACCGACATGCTGTGGGGCCTCATACAGCAGGGGTACATCTGCGAAGGTAAGGTAACACCCATCCTATTCGCTACCCTCGTCCTTGTTTATCGCTCCTTTGTCCTCAAAGTCTCATATATACAATAATTCGTAGGCGAATCATGTATTCATATAACGATTAGACAGGAAACAGTGGATATCATCTTGGTCGATTTCGAACGGCAGACGAAGTTCAAGTTACCGAGTGGCAACGTTTGAGTGGGCTCTTCGGTCAATCCGAATTGGTTGACTTTGGTTTCAATTCGTACATCGATCTTCGATTTTTCAAAATCGAGTATCTTACGAGTATCTTATATTTATGGGTCGAGTTTTCTGGTGTAGGTTCTAGGGGAGAGGTCAAACGGAAAGTAGCGATTCGCGGAGAAGTTCGAAGAGGAAATGGCTCGGTGCGGAAATACGTTTGAAAACGAAGAGCTCTCGATTAAGTTGATTGGAGTTTCCGAACAGTGTCAGAACCGCGGAGCAAATTTTTCACGGAGAAACCGCAAGACAGAGAACCGATCGATATGAGCACGTTCGGTAACGAAATCGAATACGCGACGCGTTGCCGCCGGAATACTCTCGTCCCGCCTTTTCACGGGCTCCGAAACCTTGGTCGGCGTGCGAAGTTGAAGCTGGCTGACCTCCAAGAATGATGAATGGCAAGTGCCCATTCAGCGTGTGTACAAAGAGTGGCACGTTTATACAGAGAACTGTGTTCTCTGCTAATTCTTTTCGTCTTTCGATCGAATTTCCAATCGAACTTTCCACTCGAACGTTCCGTTGCTTGGTTCAAGCAGCGTTGGGATGTCAATCTTCCAACTTTCCATCTGAGTCTAACCAAACCCCAAAGAATTTTATAGATTAATTCACAGTTAAAGAAAGGAAATCTTTACTTTGGTTAATTCTGACGATATAGGTCACGTCTTTCAACGCAACGTTGTTTCCACGTTATAAATTTTCAAAATTTCGCTATACAACGCTTCTCATTGCGTGTATTCTCCTTCGTCTAAAGATAACGTTCAGTAACTCTAGTTCCATCGAAATTTAATCGGAACATCGAATTTCGAAAGAATCGTCAACTCCGAAACGGTCTCGGAAAATGTTCAACCCGTGGCCTAGTTTCCGTCTGACATTCAGCTCGGCTGTTCGATACTATCGAGCATCTAGATCCAAAGGAATCACGCAACGGATCCCAGCCAACCCCTACGAATTGTCCCAAATTCTCCATGGTCCTTCCGCCCCCACCCCTCTCTGGGCATCCACCTCTGCAAGAATTCTCCATAAGAATCCATAATTGCTTCCTCGTGTACGGGGATTCTCGCTGGCGCAACCCACCATCTTTGGAGCCCGATAACGAGGCGCCACATTTCCCACCCCGTCGCGATTTGCGCACACTCCCGTTCGAGTGTTTACCCCTTGCAGCACGGAGTCGCGACAAGCGAACAGGAAGAAGCGTAGAATCTCCAGAACCTAGATCTGCCGTTCTTCGATCCTTCGTTGCCATTGTCAACCCGATTTCACATATTTTCCTTCTTCATTTTTTCTCTTTTTTTCTCTCTCTCTTTCAAATGTCGTCAAAAGGGTGGTGCGTTTGGGGCGGTTGGTGAGAATTGCAATGGTTTCGAGTTGGTCGAGGGAAATCGAGCTGAAACGGAGGCGAGGGCGCGCGCATCGAGCCTTTTCATAAGCATTGATCGTGGGGGGTGGTGTGGGATAGCTGATAGACTCTGGAGAGAGAAGGAGATAGACGAGAGGGTTAGCTGAGGGGTGTGGGGGCGTGCACGAGAGAAAGAGCTCGTTCAGGCCCGTGAAGGGTAAGCATCCGCGGACACTTTGCAATTTCGCGTCGTTTAACCGTCGAACGATCGGCTCGATTCCTGCCTGCGAATCCTGCGACCAGGATTAACCATGCAATCTCCAGCGTTTTTAGCTTTTCGCGAACTGCAGGTACAGCTTGGTTAATTCGCTTGGAATCGGCTTGAATTTTACGATTCACGGCGTACAATGAGAAATGCATAGGTATAGTTTCTAGAGTGTTTGATCAAACACGAGGATCAGACTAATCGAGATTGAGTGTACTTGTAGCCATTGTGAATTACGAGGGCAATATTTTACTTTCTGTCTCTTTTTTTTTGGCTGTTGAAAGCATAGGTTTGTTAATTATGCTGTAAGCACTGCGAATTATGTTTGTAGAACTTTATTGCAGTTTCGAGATTGTACGTAAATATTTCTTATATTTGTTGTTAAAAATTGAGTGGAATAACGTTGGGAAATGTGAAACAGAGGTCTGTAAACCTTTAAACTTTACGGTTACATTGTGTTATTCTGCGATATTATTAGAGAATGTCGTATGGCGAACAATCTTCAAATTGCAATTTTATTCATTTATTTTGGCAAGAATAACACGAACTGATACAGATTATAAGAATCTATTGTGTATAATAAAACCTATAGCTCTGTGGTACATAGGTCAATATGTACGGTATTTCTTTAGAACAATTTATCAAATATGTCAGAAGTAGATATATCAACAATTTATATCTTGTATTGACATCTAACGTTATCTTTATTAAACATCGTTAAATGTTTCCCACTGGATGCTTCTTGGGCATTCTCTTGAACTTTAATCGCTATGAGATTCATACGATATTACGCGAAATCCACAAAATATATTCGCAATATTTTGAAAAAAGCTTTCACGGTAATTTATGTAAAATTGAAATCTGAACAATTGAAATCTCAAACATAAGTTATGAACCAAATGTTTTAGAAAGATACTCCCACGATGATTTACATAAGATATACACAGTATAATTTTATATTATGAAAATAAATTTTGTGCGAAATTAGTATACACGCATATAGGTGTCATACACATATAACAAAACATTGATCAGCAATAAGCGTATTGGATGCAAGTTATCATTTATCTCAAGGAACTTGCTCAACTCGAGGTGTTTTATCATATCAACAAGCATCGAACAACATTAAGCAAATCGTGGCACAGAGTACAGCAACGTGGTGCTCGATTTTACCGCGGCAATTACAGGCGGCCAGAGACGGAATTCAAGATGGGATCGAGATCAATCAGAAATGTCGCTTTTAAAGCGGACACAGCGTTCTGCTGTGCGTTTAGGGAATCGTCGATCCAGAATATATATACATATATATGTGTATCTAGAACACGCAAGAATATCGACACGTTTCTGTTCGATACGTTGCACACCAACGCCATCGAGCTTTCTGATTCCTAGAATACACATGGACATCAAACGTAGCTGTTCCACGATAAATCCAGCCGTTCACCGCGTTCATCAGCATTACGAATTCGTTATTTTCTCGAATTCGAGCACTTTTCATCGTCATAGTAAGATCATCGACGAAAGACTCGGAGATCGCGGCGAATCGCATTTGTATTAACGCATTAACGATCGGTGACGTGTTACTAGTTATTTCCAGAAATATACAGACGGTAACAAAGTTCGATTGTATAGAGGCGTATCTCTGGGTCAATTAGAAAAGAATTGGATTGATCCATTCTTTTTTTTTTCTGAAACGTCGTTCATCGTAGGTATTTAAAAATTGCATCGAATTGGAACAAAAGTTTGTAAGGTTTTTTAAATGAAATTCAAAGACAACGTTTGGATGCATAGATCTTTTTGTAGATAAATTTATTCGATTGCGCGCGTGTCACGTGTGGCGTCTGACGTAGTAGATTATTTTCAATTAGCGTTACGATTTGGCCATCGACTGTAAGCTCGATCGAACGTTGATCAAAATTTTTGCCTCTCAATCGAGCTAACCATTTCAGACCGATAATTTCATCTACAGCACCGTATTTGTAAATGTTACAAAAAATCTTTCTTACTCTTTGTATGACGTTTTTCTTCTTTGTGTTAAACAAAGTAGCAAATAACGAAGATGCCTGTCTTTGTCCATCTTTACTTTTAAAGTAAATACACTTAAATTTCAGTAATCCGTACAGAGACTGCAGAAAGAGACGCGTTGAAATATCAGTTTTCTCGTAATGTCATATTAAAGGCGAAGAAACGTTCTTCAACCGTAACTCTGAAAATATAAGAAAGATATCAACCTTTTGATCGTCATCAGGTGTCTAATACTTATGGTGGATAGCGTATGTCCATGCGGAACAAGTATATGTTGATTCTAAAGGAAGGAAAATTTCTTGTATTTATTTCAGTGCTGCAACGTTTAATATTCGAAATTAGAATTTTAGAATTCTTGTCGTTGCGTACTATAAGAGTCGAGTAAAATTATCGGTCACGAATGCGCTATGAGGATGATCAAAGGCTGCACGAATATTCGGAATACTTTGGACCCGATATCTTAATTTTAGCTTTCGTGGGATTTTCAGACGCGATCGATCGACGATTCCACGGATCCCGATAGATCTCGAGGTCGTTGTTTAGAAACGTACTGCGATCTGGCTTTCTTCGTCTGAGTAAAAAAACATCGAAGATTAATCGATCATACAGAATTTAGTATTAATTGCGTGTGATTTAGTACTAATCGAATCAGGAGTTATATCGAGCAATTTTGCGAATTGGAAGGTAGATGAAAGTACATAATAACGTTGCGAACCGAATTCTTCGGAATTTACATTCGAATTTATCATTATTTATGATATATTTTTGCGACTCTATCGAGTCTTCCTGTAGGATAATTTATTAACTGATGATATCAGTGAATCGACAAGTAACTTCATATTTCATACGTTTAATAGGATGATCAAGTGGCGTGTAATTTGAAAAAGTTAGTCGTAGAATTTTAGTTCTTTTATTATAATTATATATTATATTATTATTTTATTTTATTATATTAGAAACGTTTTACTAAATTAGTTTTTAATATCACAGCGGTTGCCTTTGTGCAGGAGCATTTATTAGCACTGGTAACCCGTAACTTACACCTTGTAAATTTTTTAAAATAATTTCAAATAGATAGCTGAATTGTGCAAGAAAATTTTGGAAATAAACAATCTTATGGAAATCAATTGTTTACTAT